TGAACTGCTGAACTGCAGTCAGCTGAAGTAGCCTGCAGTGCTGCATTTAACCACTGCGCCACCTTGGCTCTCAGGCATGGGAAAGGTTTTGTGGCTCCCCGTATTTTCTTTTCTGTGGGAAACGGGTCCAAATGGCTCTTTGAGTGTTTAAGATTGCCAATCCCTGCTTTAAGAAATAAGCTGTATAACAAATATTGCCTATCTTCAAAGTTTATCTAAGATCTAAAGCAGGGCTGTCAAACTCCTGGCCCATGGGCAAGATGTATCATGCACTGGCCATGCCCACACTCAGTTTAGCAAAGGGGGGGGGAGTCCTGGTACATCATGTGATGCTGCTGTAATGACGTGAGTTTGATACCCCTAATCTAAAGCCTTTCAGATCTTGACCACAAAAATCTGGATAACCATTAGGTATCAAGAAAGAGTTGGAATTGTATGTATCAATTGCAAATCTTGACCATGGTTTGAATAGTACTAATAATGCTTGTTATTCAGAAATTATTATGCCATGACAGGCAAAGACAAGAGCTGTTGGACGGTTTCCTGTTCAATATTGAGAACTCATCCAGGGAAACGAGAATTCTGTCAGTGGCTATGGCCAGCTTTCTTTTTTTCACATATATCTAGAGCTGTGGATCGCATGTCAGTTTTGAATATTAAGTAATATTTAGAGAGGCCCCAAAGGTGCAAATCATAATCCAGTGAGTGGAAGGAAGAGAGAAATGTCCTGCATACCCTTCCCACAAAAATAACTGTAAAATCAGAACACAAATATCAGATTTAATAACGTAGTTACTTGAAGCCCTTGAATGGCTTTGACTTTCTTAAAAGAATATTTCTGCTTCTATTTAGTTGTACAATAAACTATGAATGCTTCTAGTCTTTGCACACAATGGTATTCAAATCATTTCACTTCAATAAAGGAGAACCCATCACGCTAGTTGTTTTCCAATTGTTACGGGAGCTTACTATTATGGTCTTCTAGTTAATGGCAGGAAAGGAACACTATAAAAGGGAATGGCATAATTTTAGGTGAAAGGTCAATAAATAGTGGGGACTATAACTTGGATAAGAGAAGCAAATAACAGGGAAAACAGAGGTTTTTCTAATCTTAGCATAATGTCCTTTGAAACTAGGAATGGCATCCTTTTGAACTAACACTACAGGTGTTGTAAGGGGTCAACTTAAAATGACTATCTGTGGTTATCTCTTCTGACTCTGACCATAGACAATATTCATTGTAACAGATTTTTGATGATTGTTATGGACAACTGGGCAGAAGAAACCCAAAAACAAAGGGAAAAAATGAACAGCTGTCTAAGCGTCTCTGAAGTTCATTAATAGATTTAGTGATGAAACATTGTGGGTATCTTAAGAACCTTCTGTTTATGCAGGAAATAATTAATCTGATTGCAGGTAGTGAGAGATCAGAAAGCAGCACATATCCGGAGACATTGTCAACTGCTGATGCCTCTGAGGTAGCAGAAGAGAAGAGGGAAGACAGTTCCGACACAGACCTTTCAATTGAAGGTGAATAATTCTATTCTGTCTTTCATACCAACATTCTTCACATCTTGTGAGAATTCTCCAAAGTGCTCACCTTAACATAGTCACCTTAACATTGGGCTTCTGTTGCTTACTTAAAGAGATTGTTTGTATTGTAGTTCCCTAGCCCAAAAGAAGACAGAGGTAGGCCGTAAAGTAGCCTTATCAACATTATTAGATAGCACCAACCTAATCAAAATGAATTTATAAATTTGAAATTGATTTGAAACAATGCAGCTTTAATAGCACTTCATTACACATAATGAGCCAAGTTAGCCTAATTAAGGCACTGCACTGGAAAGCAGAACACTATGAGTTCCAGTACTATCTTAGCCAGCTCACTTCACCTCACAAGGCTATTGATATGGGGGAAATAGGAGGAGGAAAGTGTGTAGAAGGAGGAGTTTTTAATGTACTTGCATGCACAGATATATCAAGGTTCACCAATTCACTTCTCTTTGATAATTGTTCTGTGAAGCCTTTCACAGGACTTGTTTCCTCTGTATTGAACTAAAGTATGCATTATCATCAGTGATGAGTTGCCAATGTTCTTACTACCCATTTGGGCGTGCTCCTACGCTCGCTTGCACCACTTCTGCGCATGCGCAGAAGCGTCTGGGTGGGTGGGCGGAGCCTCCTGTTGCTGCTATTACCAGTTCACCCGATCCAGGCTGAACCGGGAGCAACCCACCTCTGATTATCATCCATATAATGTATCCTTTGCAGATGCTGAGCGCTCATTTACAACTGTAAAGGGTCCAGACCTGTATAGAGAGGCATGCAAGCTGGTGGGAGTGATTCCTGTGTCATACTTCAGCCGGAACATGGAAGAGTCTGTTATGAATCTCAACCATCATGGTCTTGGACCAAAGGGAACCAAGGCCATTGCTATTGCTCTGGTTGTAAGTACTTTTACCTGATGCTATTGCATTTCTACACACTTTTCCCAGTTTGGGGAAGAAGGATTAAAGGGTCACCCTATATTACTGATAGAGTAGATTAAATACATAGTAAAACTGGCAATTTCCATGAACCTTCTTCCTTCCTTCCACATTTTAACTGTAATTGAGTTTAACATTGACCAACTAGAATACCAGACCTCTTTACATGAAACCATTAAGACACCTACTTGTATGTATAGAGATGATAATCTGCAAGAGATGCGAACAACTGATGTACTAGTCTTAATGTCTGGTACATAGACAAGGAAAATAAGTCTGAGTTAAAGAAATGTTTTAATGGTTTAGATATACAACATTGTTAGCTTAAGCCTCTCACTGTGAATATATTGAATGTCATGAGACAGCCCTTCTGGTTATCCAGAGGCTGCGTATGGTTCCAAAAGGTAGCAGCTTGAATTGTTATGGGTGTTTTTTGTTTTGCCCATAATTTACATTGTTAATCATGTAAATTAATGTTATTAAATGTCTGCATTTTTTTCCTTTTTGAATTCTTCATTCTGTAGTCCAACACAACCATCACTCAACTGGAGCTAGAGGATAACTGGATTCTGGCTGAAGGAACTACATACTTAGTACAGATGTTGCGAGAGAACTGCTACATCCAAGAGATGGTATTCTGTGTTTCCCTCATAGGTCAACAAAGGATGCTTTTTGTTGCATCAAAGGATGCTCAAAGGAAAGTCTCTTGTACTGCTCTGTAGAATTATGCTTGGCTAGTATGCCAGGCTATTTCATGGTTTTTCTGGATGTGCTATGAGTGTGTTGCTGAACCTTTTCGGCACCGAGTGGCTGCTCTTCCAGTTTCCAGCATTCCTACGTGCATGAAGACCAGTTGACACTGGAACCCTGAAGAGCAACAGGCAATGGCTTGCATGCCCAGAGAGATGGCTCTGCATATCACTTCCGGCACTCGTGCCATAGGTTCCCTATCATGATGCTATGAGCTTCACAGTCTTTACTTATTTGATCCCACTATATCTTTATCAAAGGTGAACATCTTAGTGCCCCATGCACAAAGCCTGAGTGTTGTCTTCATGAAAATGCAAAAATTGCTATTCAACTTGAGTGTTTAATGGGACGGTAGGAATTAATGGAATCCTGAACTACTTTATTGCATTCTAAAATATTTGTGGTAGAACTTACAAGTTCAATACTATTATGATTATTATATTTTTATTTCTCAATAAAAGTTGTATATATGTTTTGTAAGCTATGAAAATAGTAATCCGTTTGAGCAGCTATGACAACAAGAGGAAAAGTGTTAAATTCTTCTTATAATCCCCCCATCCCAAAATTGTCTACAATTTGCTCTCCTTATATGAAGAAGAGTGAATAAACAGGCCCAATGATTGTACTGACAATATTACTAGAATGTCTTCTTAGTCTCTTAGATTCATCACTTTGGTTTTTCAGAATTCAGCAGAAAATAAAGGGTAAAGAGCGGTTGAATAGTTTGAAGCCTTCTTGGGTGGGTAGATGGGTGGTGGACAAATTTTGCATTGATAACATTGGTCCAGTTTCTTCAACTTGTTTCCAAGTGTAGACTCCAGAAAATGGTCTTCAGTACAATAATAATAGAGATACACTCAATGGCTATATGTACTGTACATTATCTCTTAGAAAGTTATGTGAGGTACAGGAAAAATTGATGGAGCGATCAGTGTTTTCATTTGCCTATCTTTATTTTGTACAACACCGTATTTTTTGGAGTATAAGATGCATAAAAATTTTGAAAAGGCAAATTAAAAAAGTTTTTGCACTCTGCAGACCTCCCAAAAATGGCCTGTTTTTCGTGAAAACAGGCCCGTTTTTTGGTCAAAAATGGGGCCCTTTTTGTCAAAAATGCATAGCCTTTAGGAGGCTTGTAGAGTGCTTCTGGGGGCTGGGGGGGGCAAAAGCCAGCAAAAAATGACCAGTTTTTTGCTCATTTTTGCCCTCCCCAGCCCCCAGGAGCATTCTGGAAGCCTCTTAAGCCATTTTTGCAAAGTGGGCAGGGTTTCAGGAGCCCAAAAATGCTGTATTCAGTGTACAAGACACACCCAGATTTTCACCCTCTTTTTTGAGATGTGTCTTATACTCTGAAAAATACAGTACTTCCACATATATTAAACTTAAATGTTTAATGGGACAGCAGGAACTAATGGAATCCTGAACAACTATATTTCATTCTAAAATATATTAAAGATTCCAACAAAATACTAACTAAAAAAATTATTCATTGTTAGATATGAATACCTATCTGCAAATGAATATATTATTTACAAAAATTAAGTGTGTCTATGTGTTTGTGGAGACACGAAGAAAAATCAGTGTAATGGACTAATTGGAGGGAAGGTTTTATTACCCGTGATTATCTATTAAATTGCAAGTTACCAGTTATGCCATTTGTATATGACATCATTACATAAAAGATTTAAATAGTACAAAGTAAATGTAAATTTAATTGCCTGGCCTACACTACTTCGGGTACAATCAACTATTTAAGTCTACATGGAAATTTGATCAACTGAGTTTTAAGCCATTTAGTTGAAACCTGGGTGATCAGGTTTAAGAAAGTTTTGTTCTTCTTAAAGTGTTCATCAACATGTGAACATCAAGATGTCTCTCCAAGCCTTTTGTTCTCATGTTGATGAGGAAAACTTGAGAAAGTGCATTTTTGTGGCTGATTCCTCTTTTTTTAAATCTCTTGTCTTTTGGTAGCCTTCACTCAAAGTTTTTGACAGCAATGACATGGCATAATGGCTAAATGCAGGTACATCAAACTCTGTGTAAACATAAACAGAGACATTTGAAAGTGAAAACATTTGGAGAAGAGTAAAATCTTGCTAAATTCTGGCATATAACATATAACATGGACTGTGTCATTCTCTAGGAATTCACAAATATCTAGTTGCTCAAATACTGCAAAGTGCATCAATTTCATCTTTCAACTCTTCTCTATAAGTTTTTCTTCTTTTTCAGAATATTTCCCATAATCACCTCAACAAAGATGGAGCTGAAGCGATCTGCAGAATGTTTTACCACAATATTTCTAACATCCGGTCCATTCGACTTGCAGGTAGGTTTCTTCCAGAAAGGCAGAAAGATGCAACAGAGCGATATTCAGCTTTACGGAATACGACATTTGCTCTTAGAAAGATCTCTTTAAAAAATCCAAGGATTTTGGCTGGCAGGAATGGGACGATATACAGAATAATGATTTACCCTACATCTGTACCTTTGGGGCCTGTAAATCACAGGTGAGAAACTTGTGATTCTTCATATGTTGCTACTTGCCTCCTCTCTGAGCATAAAAGTTGAACTCCAACTGTAGTTTAGGATCACAATCCCCACCATGGGCATACAAATCAGAGATGGTATTCAGCAGGTTCTGACCAGTTCTGGAGAACTGGTAGCGGAAATTTTGAGTAGTTCAGAGAACCTGTAAATACCACTTCTGACTGGCCCCGCCCCCATTGATTCTCTGCCTTCCAAGTCCCAGCTGATCAGGAGGAAAGGGGGATTTTGCAGTAACTTTCCCCTGGAGTGGGGAGGGAGATTTTACAATATTCTTCCCCTGCCACGCCCACCAAACCACGCCCACCAAGCCATTCCCACAGAAACGGTAGTAAAAAAATTGAATCCCACCACTGTTACAAATCTAAATACGAGTCACTTCATATGTTATCAAGAGGTTGAAAAAAGTCTTACCTGAAATTTTATAGTATCTCAAAACTCCTATATTGATAACTGTTTTCTTGTTATTGTTGTCACTTACTTAGCTTTTTATCTCTATAAGTAACATAGCTTTTTAAAAGTTTTGTTGATATATTCCTACTAACCACTTTGATAGTTCTTATTTTTACAGGCTAACAGTTTGATGCCGCTGGAATAGATTGCCTCCTAATTTTAGATAATACCCAGTTCCTGAATTATTAAGTCAAATCCTCTTCTTTAGGTATACAGAATTATTTAATACAGAGGGTGAGCTCAAATCTAGTCAAGAGTTGAAGCAAGAAGGGATGGAAATGAACTGGTATTCATATGTACAGATACAATCTAGATATAATGAAGATAGAAAAACTAAAGGTCTCTATAATAAAATGACTGAACTAGACAAAATTCTAACAGGTACTGATGAAAAAGTAATTAAAAAACTATATGGATATTTATTGGAGTTTAAATTGCATGAAGAACAAGTTAAAGAAACTATGATTGC